CCAATAACCAAACTGTATTTGATACAAAAGGGTCAGCACATGGGTGAGCACTGGGGGTACAAGCAAATCAGATTATACATAATCGACATCAATCCCACTGACCCCAACAACAACACCACACGACCAACAATGGGTGGAATAAATGGTGAAATGCAGTCTCCCATAGAAGGGATGGGAGACAACTGAGTCAACAAGCCAAACACATAAGACCAAGGAAGCCACATACTGAATCTCTACACAGCCCATGTTTAGAAAGGCCAGACCTGACTGGAGCCCAGTTCCAGGGAGGCCCTTCCCCAACAGGAAACTCTGCACAGGGCATCCACCTCACAGACAGACACTGCCCCTTCCTGCAACCCAGATTTTATCCCTCAGTGGGACACCTGACCCTTGTTTACTTAATGTGGGACACCTGGGGCTCATTTACCTCATGCCTCTCCCAGCCAGGCCGGCCGCACCCTGGAGGGAAGCCTAAAGGCAAACTCACCACCCCTCAGTGAAGGGTTGTGGGAATCACCCATATGTCAACCTTAACTAGGGGCTTGTGGTTGAGACCCCAGAATTTGAAACATATAAATGGGAGCTACAAGTTGTACTAAGAAGTAAATTTTATTTACTCACCTTTTTTTTTTTTTTTTTTTTTTTTAAAATAATGTAAAAGCCTTTATTGTTTGGGTATGATTCACTATGGCTGAAGCTCTTTTCTGTTAACTGAGTGAAACAGAAATCAGTGAAGAGGGGTTTTTTTTATTATTCTTCCATTTATGCGCTAGTGATTTAGGCTGTTGTGTTCCCTTACCGTTAATGGGGTTTAGAAGTAGAAGACCCCTTCATCTCTCAAGAACTATTAACCCAAAGTCCTAGTCTAGAATCACAAATATATACAATGATACAGCAAACAAAATCTAGTTAGAAACTCTGTGTCATCATTTACATTGGATCCTAAATCACATGGTAAGCAAACAATAATAAAGAAAAAAATAAAAGTATAGGAAAAAGCAGGTAGCCTACACAGAGTGTGGTATTGACTGTCATGTTGTAAAAGGAAAAAAACCAACCCACTACAGAAGTTTCTAAATGACACAGTTCATTCCAACCCATTTAACCTACACAAAATGCCGGATGCACATGAACAGCAGGATTTGCAAACAATATGGACAGCTCTGCCAGCAGTCTCACACAATCATAGTATCTGTCTCAAAACAGTTAGTCTCACAGCAATACAAATTTCAGAAGGTAAAACAAAAATGAAGATTGCACTGCTAAACATTTTCAGTTTGGTTACCTTTACCCTAGTGGTTTCAGCAAACTTATTTACTACCTATACATATTCATTTTTTAACTACTCTGATGTTATTTCCTTGATCCCCACACCGAAATTTAGCACAGGTGGATGGATAATGTATTTCTTCAAAATCCTACACGACTCGATGAAGCCTCTGTGCTGCCTCATCAGTCTTCCAATACATTGCTTGGCTTCAAGATGAAAGACTTACTTCGTTCTTTTAAGAATAAGTGTACTCAAGACTCCTCACAAGAATTAATTGCCTAGACAACCTCCATTAACAATCTTAAAAATTTCAGTTTGTATATTCTACTGTTATGAATGTATACAGGTTACCAAAAGACAGAAAACACAATCTGAAAATATTCTATTTATATTAGGAAACATTTTCTTTAACAGTAGCTAAACACATTAACTATGTTGTCATGGTTTATGCCCAGACAGCAACTAAGCACCACATGGCCGCTTGCTCACTCCGCCACATACCGTCCCCCAAGGAGGGATGGGAAGAAGAATCGGAAGAAAAAGGTAAAAACTCGTGGGCTGAGATAAGGACAGTTTAATAGGACAACACAAGAAGAGATGAAATAATAACAATAATATTAATAAATGAATGTACAATGTGAGTGATGCACAATACAATTGCTCACCAACTGAAATCTGGTGCTCAGCCCATTCTTGAGCTGAAATCCCTCCTCCCCAGCCAGCTGTCCCAGTTTATATACTTAGCATGACATCATATGGTCTTGAATATTCCCTTGGCTAGTTCAGGTCAGCTATCCTGGCTGTGCCCCCTCCCAGCTTCTTGTGAGAATTAACTCTATCCCAGCCAAACCAGGGATACATGTTTAGAGCCTAAGGGTAAAGAGTGTAATCTTTTTCCTGAAAAATACTTCAACTGCAACAAGGGATACTGAATTATAGACAATACTGTTGAGAAATACTCATGAGAAATTTTAGAATAAGATCCCTCAATTTAAAATTCTGCCTACACAAGTCAAATTTTTTAATGGATTTGCTTATTCCTGTTATAGTTTCCTGATACAACTGTGCTTTGGTTCTGTCAAATTTTACAGCTAGAATTAATCCATCTGTATTCAGGCACACCTAGCTTGTAATACTATTTGATTACGGCTGAACATTACTACCTTTACAGTGTTCAAGAGATGCTGACATCTTCTGTAACTTGTTAAAGAAGAACTAGTTTGAAGATACTCTGTAGCAAGTAAAGCAAGGGAAGTATGATTTAAATGTAGGTTTAAATTGTGTCTCCATCCAGTCCTGCTACCACAGGATAAAAAAGGTTTGAGAGTGTTACAGTAAAGAGAACAAGACTAGAATCACTAACTTCTTTCTCTGTCATCAATTTTAGAAAACAGGATATATTTGGGTCCATGGCTGACAACACCCCAGGATAATGGGCTCCCAAGCAGCTTCATGCTTTATTATCCTTAATGTTACCAGATAATATCTCCTATAAGGCTTGCTAATGTTGATGTACTTACTCCAGATAAAGCACAGCACAAAGAACAACAAAGTCTTTGTTTGAAAGACCTTGAGAAAACCATATATTTTAATTATGTCAGATAACCCTTCCGTGGCACCAGATACTTGAAAGTCACACTTCTCTCCAGAGCAAGCCTCAGTGAAAGAAAACTTAGAGCTCAGGATACACATCTCAAGCTCTGGTGCACAGAAGTATTTCTCCATCCATTCTTTAGATAACAGAGGCAACACAAACTCATCTTGCATTCTGAGCCAAGATGCACACACTGACTGGGTGGAAAATGCTATACAAGTTAGGGAAAAAAGTAAACAATTACATGAAAGAATCAAATCTTTATTATTAATGAAGAATAAGGTGTTATTACAGCTCAAGGTCACATATGGCAAAACAATCTTCAGCTAATGCCATGTCCATTATGTACTAAGAGAATCAAAATTAAAACAGAGGTGTTCTTATTTTTTTCTTTAAAACCATTTGTAGAATTTTAATTTGCAACATGTTGAACGATCAAGTTTCATACAGGCCCAGCAGGCTCTGTCACTCACGATCTGGAATGAGAGCAGTCAGGGGACACTGGGATCAAATGAACTCCTAATATCAGGTGAGGGAATAGGATGGTAGAACCTGCAATCTCTCTTAGCCAGTGTTTATAAAGAAATCATTTAAAAAACAACACAGGGAGTCTGAGAAAAGCAACTACAATAACCATGGTGTTCCCACATACTTTGCTCAAGTCTTCATCTACCCAGCAGCATTTTAGAATAAATATATATTAAGAATATAACCAACCCCAAGAAAACAGTGAAAAATGGCAGTATCAGAATAAGATACATTGGGATTAGAAGGATGGGGCAATAAGAATCATCATCTGTGCAGGGAGGGAGGGAGACAGAAAGGAAAACAGAAAAAGAAAAAGCTAACTTTATCAAGCAACATCTCTCTTTAGAACAACTTTCTTCCATAAAACTTGACAAAGCTAGTGTGTGTGAAAAGCAAGTAGCTTTTCTAAGTTCAACAAACGTATACAGAGCTGATATTTAGTTACCTCTTCAATATCTGATAATTTTACATATGCAATACCATATCTGTTCATTTTAGAATATTATCTTCCCAAGGGAAGAGCTAGTGTAATGCACTATGTGTTTTTTCACCCTGAAAGTAATTAGTAAAAGAAAATCAAAGTTAAAACAAATGTTGCAAAAAAAAAAAAAGGCTATGTTTACAGCCCAAATATATAAGAAAACAATGAAAAGATTAAGCTACTAATCTCAAAAATAAGATCACTCTCAATTAAGGTCTTGAACACTGTTTTGAAAGTGAAATCAATTTTGAAATCATACACAAAAAAGTTTTGAACAAAGCACCATTAAATCTCTGCAAGAACCCTGATAATTTGGCTCTCTTTATCTGTTTGTCTCCATTTTAGATGCAGCACACATACTTCACAAGGACTCATTTCCAAAAAAGGCAGAAGTAAAACAATTATGAAAAACAACTAGATAAAAATAAATGAAACAAAGCATATAGAGTGCCAGGAAAAAAAAAAAAAACAAAAAACAAACAACAAACAAACAAACAAACAACAACAACCACCACAAACCACCACAAAACCAACCACCAAACCTGATATTGGGCAAAACTGATCCTAGTCTACAAAGCATAACTGAAAAAGCTAATCACAAAAGTTCTAGAACAAGGTGATACTTAATTTAGGACTCCAGACAGATAAAATCTCATACATCTTCCCAGAACAGTACTTTGAACTATTTCTTCGCCCATTTCTCTTTCCTGCCTTTCTTCAGAATGTTAAGCACAGAATCATCTAGGTTGGAAAAGACCTTGAAGATCATCCAGTCCAACCATTAACCTAACACTGACAGTTCCTAACTACACCATATCCCTAAGCGCTAAACACAATCCTATTGGAAAGCTGGCAGCTCCATTTCATAGCTAGGCACCCCCACCTAAATTCATCACAGCTTGAGCTAGGACACAACACTTTATGAAGAGACACAGACACACACTGCCTTTAGCTTATTCTCCTAGGGTGCAGGAACATAACAGAGTGGAAGATTAACAGGGGGATTTGTAAGGCCATTAACTATTGTCTCTCTCAAGAGTTCACTCGTGAAACTTGATACTACCTAAAAAGGCTGGAAGTGCTGGTGTCAAAGATTCAGAAAGCTAAATTTATTTGTAGTTACTAACCTGCAAGCAGAAATAATCTTTTCTCAGGTCTGCTTCCTTTGCCTGTTAGCTGTAGTCAGTGCTTTGTTTCTTCTCTTCAGGGACTGGCTGAAAGACAAATTTTGACACAGTCACCCCAGATTAAAAAAAAAAAAAAAAGAAACAGAAATAAAATAAAGTTCTGACTATAAGTGTGAAGGCATGTAAGAAAATATTGACAACTCATCTTATCTTACAAATGCATCAGAAGCATGATATGTTCAGACATATGTCCCTAATGTACTATCATGAATGCTGCCCAGAGCTCTGGGGACATAAAACTGATAGTAGCACAAGATGAAAGATCAAGAATGTCAAGGATCATGAAAAATTAAATTATCTTAAACTCTACCATTACTACAATTTGCTAATATGGGTATATTGGTTCTGTCATTCAAATGAAAACATTGCTCCATAGTTTACTTTCCTCTCCATAAACATTCTCTTTTGATTTCTTTGCTTCAGCTTCATATTTAAATTGTTGGGCTTTTTTCTGGACCAAGAGTCCAAGCTACCAGAACAAAAAGTCATGTGGATGCATAGCACCATATAAAATGAAAATGCATTACCAGCGGAAAATCATATTCCCTCTCCCCTCATCACACAGTCAGAAAACTAAACAGATGGCCTACTTACAGTCCACTTAGTCCTTGCTGCTTTACACGTTCATTGTAAACCACAGTTTTCCTTAAACTTTTTTTCCCTAAAAAAAACACCCTGTTTTCCCTACATCCCATTCGCAGAGGTCATGCCTCTCCCCTTTTCAACATATTATACAAGAACTTTCCACTTTTATTTTACCTTGGAAAACATGTTTTGTTACATCAGCTCTACTACCTTATAGCAACGTAGTATTTCTACCCCTGATACTTTGTGCTACGAACTGCTTCCAGGAAATAATCACAAATAAGAAAACGCTTAGTGAAGTGGATTTTCAGGGAAGGACTTAAGCAATAGCCCATGACTTGAGTGGAGCTAGCCCCTAGTATAATTTCACAAGAGGGCCCATGCCCACAATGCAGGGAGCAGAACTGGGATGCACCCAAGCAGCAGGTTGTCTTTGTTTTTCCATACCGGAGACATGAGGCTGGCTAACAAGAAAAAAACCCACAACATTGTGTAAGCTGTGCATGTATCCCCAATGCTGCGTCATGGAGAATCTGGGATGAACAGCATGACCTTTACTACCAGGACATGACTGTGCTCATGCTTTTATACATATTCACATGCTTTTACACAGTCACATACACATTCATATATGACAAAAATAAACTTAAGAGAAGAAAGAACTTTGCTGTAGCAAGACATCATGAATGTAATCATGACCTTTCACTAAAAAGGTTGGCAGTACCACTTGTAACCAATCTGGCAAACTGGAAATCACAAGTCAGCAAAAAAGATACAGGTGTGGCTACAAATTGATTCTCAGTTGCTCTTAAACAAAATATCAGTCCTTGATTTACAGCTAAGTTTGCTTCCTAAGCTAAAAATGTCAATATCCTCTAAAAAAAGGAAGAAAAAAAAAAAATCAAAATAACTAAGCCTGGCTGGATGACAGCTATTGAGAAATATGATGATAGTGTAAATCACACAGGAGCAAGAGGAATTACACAGCATGACTCTAAGGGGCATAAATGAAAGAGTGAGATGAACTTAGGGAAGAGGGTGGCATAGACTGAGCATGAGAAAACATTTTTTAACAGCAATATACAATATAAAGTAGAATATTTTTCCTCACGGAAAGGGAAGTTATTTAAGACTAAATTAGATAAAACATAAAGAAAGCATTTGTGAAACACTTAAGTCCTGTCCTTCTCGCTTCTCATAATTAGGTGTCTCAGTAAGATTTCAGTATAACAATCAACCACACAGCAAAAATACATTAATTTCTTGTTGGGTTCTCGTCTTGGAAAAGTACCTTGGATTTCATCAGCATTAAGGTTAGAAGTGTCATTCACATTTAATTCATCACACTGAACTATTTAAGCATTATATGTAATTTTAATCCCCTGTTACTTATTCTCTTGCCTATTGCTGTTACACAAAATTATCTTTTTAATTCTGGACTTTTATAGCATTTTTATTACAGACATTTCAAAGTACTTTACCAACATATGTCCACTACCAACATCTTTCAAAATCAATACATATATATCAACCTTGCAGGTTGTTGATCCAGAAATTATCCCACAATTGCTGAACTGTCTAGCTGCTTAACATGATACATAATTAGTAAGCAATGTGATGCCCGTGAAATACTCTGGTGTTGCACAAGGCCATGGGAAATTAGAAGATTATAACCGAAGCCAGGAAGGAAAACAAAATTCAGTGTTTCTTTCAGTTTGATGTCTGAAGCATGAGAAATCAGCAAAGGCTTAGGAGCAGTGGTAAAACAGGTATTCCCTTACACAACCACGTATTACAACAGAAAACCCACCACAGGTTTAGGCTTTTTTCCTATCATTACTATTCTCAGTCTTACTTTAAACAATACACAACATTCTGCAATTCAATCTGAAAAGAGATGGGGTAACTCCCAAAACGTTACTGAGAGGAGTTTTATTCCATTTTTTTCTTTACATTGAACTCTTAGGAAGAATTTTCCAAAATGCACAAATAATGTAGGAGAGTAGCTGAATTTGAAACACGGAAGTTTCTCCTCCTGCTTAAAAATGTTCTCTTCTATATGGAAACCAAATAATTTTTTTTTAAAAAGTAGAGTTATTCGAAGCCTCCTTTTGATTGTGGAAATCTTACTCATTATAAGGAATGTTTAAATTATAATTTGTTACATTTGTGACTGAAATCCCAAAATTATTGTGATTTATAGTCCTTATTTTAAAGGTTCTACACAACACTGGGTAGGATCCCACTGTGTCCATCAAGAACTAAGAGCAGGGAAGAAGAGAGAGAAACCACACCACAGCAGCAGGGAAAAGTTAGCATGTTTTCACAAACTGAAAAACAATAATTAAGAGAGATGATAATATCACAAAAATCAATTACCATTCTGACCCCCAAAGAAAAATAGTGAACATGAACATTAGTGTGCCAGGAAAACAGTTACTCTCTTAAGCACTGAATGCCATGTCATAAAGCTGAAATAGAGTACCACAAGGAACAATTCAGCAATGTACGACAAAACATCCAATATGTAATGGAGAATGTAACAGCTGTTTCCTTTCACACCAGTCCACAGTCTCTGCAGGTATTTAATCCAAATTCACACACACACCCCCTTTTTTTTTTTTTTTTTTTTTTAAGCAGCTACACATTTAAAGTATTAGTAACTGTTCCAAATATTGATACTATTATATCATTCTCAAAGTGCTTATTTATCACAAGAGATGCAGGAACGCAAGGCACGGGCCACCTTCCTTCCTCAGACCAAATGCCAAAACCAAAGACTTCTGTACAAATTAACACCCACCAATCCCCTTCAACAGCGATTATATGTATCACTGCAATTAAGAAAAACATATCTCTAGCCCCAACCCTATAAAATGTAACAATAGAACAGCACTGAGTTTTAAACCATAGAAGTTTGGGGGGAAAAAAACCCACAAAAATCTTCTGCCCCTGTCTTGATAGGTCCTAGCTTCGTGTCTAAATTAAATTCAGGTGTGGATTCCCCCTAAAGAATGAGGCAGCAGCTAAGAAAGTGATAACTACTGCTTCCCCATACCTAGGCTCCAGTATCAAAGGACACAACGATGGCCATTTGGGCTGTGTCGGTCCATTTTCTGCAGGCTTACAGTGAGTCACGTACACAGACGGCTAGAAGAAACATGTGTACCCCAGTCACAGCAGAAGCCATCCCCACTTACTGCAGAATGACAGAACTTTCAAGACCATAATCCATTGCTTCCAAGAATAAAATACATAAAATACCTAAGAATTTTTCTAGACAACAGCACCAATCCAACTGCACAAAGATGACAAGTTTCTGCAAAAAGTTGTTCTTCCCTCCTTGAGTATAATAAAGATTAAGGTAGGAAAGGGAGACAAGAGAAAAGTCTTTTTTCCCTTGGTATGTTTACTTTGCTTTTGATAGTACATTGAATGTGCTTACTGCTAATTCTAAACATACAAGATTTCCTTTAAAAAAATGGTTATCTAATAAAAATGTACAAATTTTTTTTTTAAAGAATCACAAAAACTGTAAACGAGATTCAGGAATAGATTTAGCACCTGAGGCCATTTCAAAAGCATTTACAATTACTTTACAAATGTTAAATCAATAGTGTTTTGTAAACAAAATGTTCTTAATGTGCTTTGCTTTCTTCCCAATTACTCTCTCTTCTATTACAGCTGAAGATTGTTGCTTCAAAACTTTATTTCTCACAAAGAGGGCAGCTGTAAAATTAGATGGACTAATTGCCACACTTATCTACAGAATGATTTCACATAATTTTGCTAAACTCTCCAAGCTAGGTTTTGCTCTGCATCTGACAGACATCTCTTACGCTGTCTGAAGCCCATGATCAAAACAAAGGACAGGGTTGCCACTGCTGCTTTCAGGAAAGATAATAAACCTGCAGACACAAAGCAAGATTTCTGCTTTATCTGCTTTAACACGTATTAAGCACCCCAGCTGCCAACAGCTGCAAAAATGGGGGAGCATCAGTGCCTCAGACAGACTCGCTTCTGGCATGGCAATCTGTGTGAACAATATGGCTTGGACTACAAGGAGAATTGGGTCACTAAAGGGTATGCTTGCTTTACATTTTTCTCTTTGGGTTTCCTGAATGCCAAAAGCTAGCCCAAAAGACCTAGTTTTGTAACTTACAGGAGAAGGCCTCAAAAGCATGATGCTTATCACAGTGTCTCATTTTTCTACAAAAATGCAACATTTCCAATAACATTTCTAGTTTTGGTTTTGATAAACAGAACATCCAAGAAATTTTCTACATCCAGAAAAATCTCTTTCTGGAAGCCTAAAAGGGCTGCTAAGATATAGCATACTTGTAAAGATTAATTTGAGATAAATCCATGTGTCTATACTATTTACATCCAGAAGCACAGAACTATTTCAGTTCTATGCAGTAAACTGTAAATTGCGTCAGATGTACAACTAACACATAATAATACTCAAAGTACATACACATAAAATATGCGTTCAAATAGTAGCAGCAATTTTGAAGCACTTTCACCAGAGATATGTAGAATGTATATAAACATCTACTACATACAAAACATACCATGAAGAAAGTAGGAACCCTGTAACGACTAGAAGTAAATCATATTATTAATAATATTTAAATACAGATGGGTCATCATATCTGTAAGTTACAAAGTACAGTTAATTTTGCAGTGGCAGAACTTGCAGCAGAAGACAATGCTAGGTATATGCTGTTTGCAGCAACAAAAGGATCAGGATGCCTCTGGTACAGAAAATAAAATAACTGCTTAAGTAGAGAAAGAGCTCCAGCCTCACAGCAGAGAAGAATAAAGACCAAGATTTACCAAATAAACAGGCAGAACACACTTTTTAAATAGCTCAGGTAACCTATTGTTATGTGGACTGTATGATCCATAGGCACTGGGTACACCAGTTCCTGACTGGGTACTGCCCATTTCGAGGCCAGTTTCAACACATGTGGGCCTGGGTGTTAAATTCACTCAAAGTTCCTTTACTGAAAACCTGCACGAATAGGGAACCTTAAAGAAAAGCACTAATAAAAGCTATGTGGTCATTTCCAAAGGCTGTGAAGAAAATAAAAAATAGTAAGTAAATGGGGCTGTGGAAACAGTAAGAAAAATAGTAAGTAAATTGAGATTTCCCATTGAAAATAAAAGCAGAGAAGCAGGAAATCCTTGCAAGCCTCCTTCAGAGTCTCTCACTACTTAACTTAAACAGTAGATGAGCTACACAGGTCAAGTTAGTTTAAATCACAGAACTCAAAACAGGACACTGACAGGAACAACTCACACATGACTGTCACACATCAGGCCCCATACACGAGCACCGGTCAGCCTTCACTGCAAACTCAGATTGCGATTTCGAAGCAATCACCTGTTGCTCGTTTCCAGGCCCTGTACCAATCCCACCTGGCCACCATCCCCCTCCCCATGCAAAAAACAGTCGCAACTGTACACCGCTATCACCCACCAGTTTATTCGAACGCAGTGTTCCCCTTCCCGTTCCTTGGGACTTGCCCACCCCGACAGCGCCCGGGCCGTTCGCTGCCGACCCGGCTGGAGCC